GATTTTGACTAACATTTTTAATCGGCCTCGTATATGCTTATTTTTTCTCCACTTGGTATAAAAAGCATGTCATTCAATAGCTAAAAGCCTGATCTTTCCGAATATGAAAACCAATTGTTCATACGCAGAGTAATTCACGTATAATAGCGCGCCGAAGTTCGATTACCTTTTTTTTTATACACCCTGTACTAAAAAATATATAACTTTACAATTAGATTTTACTGAAGATAAAAATACTGAGGTAAAAATATTATAAATGTAGAATAAAAAAACTATAATTAGACTAGTTCTAAGAGACTTGATATAATGTAAGTGTTTTTAAATCTATTTGTATTACGCCTTGGAATATTAAAAAGGTTTGGATTTCTTAAGTTGTAAGTATTTGAATGCTTTGCAGGCAAGAGATGGTGAATTTTATGATGTTTGTTATTCACTATTGATTTGAAGACTTTAGTACATAATCCTTTCCTTCTTGTCTTCAAAGTTTCCATATCTAATTCTTCAATGGCTTCTGAATACGACAAGTCCGGGCATATAATGCGCAAAGCTCTCTTCTGAATCCGTTCTATTTGGTCTGAAAGATATTCCGGGAGACCGTAATGAAATACTTGACATGCGTACTCATGCAAGGATAGATCTTACAGAAGCAATGTAGAAACATTTTAAATCATTGTCACTAAGACCCGATCTCTTTAGTTGTTTCATCAGATATAGTCGCTTCACTGCTTTAGTTGTATCTTATCCACATGGGCATTCCACTTCATGTCTTGAGTGATCAATAAACCGAGAATCATTGCTTTTTCAACACGCTCTACGTTAATTCCGTTTATCTTTATCGGCGGGAAAACAGGTTCATTACGTTGAAAGTTAATCACAATCTCCTTGCATTTTGTCGGGTTGAGTTCAAATTTATTGTAAGTGGACCAATTCACAATACAATTAGTAACATCTTGCAAGGAACTTGTATACTCTTGATTAAATATATATTCAGAAACATTGGTGTCATCTGCGTATTTAGACATATCACCTTCAAAATCGTCAGATGGGATCGAAAGATCGTTAATCATAAGGAGAAATAGCCATGGGCCCAATTTGGTTCCCTGAGTAACTCCAGCATTTATAGGCTTCCAATCTGAAAAACAGTCCGAGTGGAGCTTCACTCTTTGTGATCGTGCACGTAGGAAATCTACTATCCAATTAAACACCGATGGTTTAATGCCAATTCGCTGCAGTTTCTGGCAAAGAATGTTATGGTCTATTAAATCAAATGCCTTCCGATAATCCGTAAGCAGCGCTCGTACGGTTCCGCCCCTCAAAGCTAAAAGATATTATAGCGTGGGCGCCACAGATAAATTGAAAACACAAAAAAAATCATGACCGTGAATGAGGAGTTTGTATATATCTGATACAAAATCATGATAATTTACATGAACTTCAAGTTCAATTTCTCACCAAATATCATTCACTTAGTTTAAATTATTGAAGAATACGAATGTTCTCATCAAGACGTTTCACAAGCAATCTACAACGTTCGCGTCCGTGTTGTTTCTCCGATACAACTGCCGCTCATGTGGTACATGGTACATGTAAAATTGTAGCAGCTAGTTTTTGAATCAGTCAATAGTTCATTGTCTTTTACTGTTATGATCAACGTTTTGTCAACATTCCATAATTTTCAGTTACGGCCATTTGCCTATGTATATACAAGCACCTGATGTACCTGTCATATAGCTTTATAATAATTCTTCTAGTAAAACAATTGGAGCTGTACCAATATCCCTAAATTACGCTAAAAATTCCATCTTGCCACTATTCAAACTATTTCAAGTGAATTTAAAGTAATACAACATCCACCAAATTTAGCATAGATACAGTAAGGTTAATCGATTTTTACCCACACGTCAATTGTATAACATAATCCTACTTGGGCTTTGTTACATTTCAAACTTGTGTATCCCCAAGAGCGGCTGGCTGTAAACAACCTTTTGTCTGTCTGAACTGTCCCCGAACGAAATAAATTTGACTTAGCCCTATAACTGGCATACACGCAAGCCTCGTCGGCCAAGTAAGGAATCTTGAGATAAAAACTGCATTTACTCAAATCTTCCATATAACCAAGCTCAAGTCGCATTGCATATCCTTGGTACCAAAATAAATTTGAAACAATAGGAACTCCCGGAAACTGCGTTAGTTCTTTAACGAGTTTTTCATCAATCACCCATGAAAACGTTGGACCGGCATCTTCCACCAAACGACGTTTCTTCGGCTTCGGTTCGAGTTGTTCCCGCCTACTCTTTGAAAATCCGTGATTGCTAAACCTTTCAGCAGATATTTGTTGAATCCAGGCAGTTTTCCGGCCACAAAATCATCTTGCACTACATCATACAGGAAATCCACAGACATAAACTCAAATCGTACAACATCCAACAGATCACATTCACCGTGTGCTAACCAAGACACATTCAAGCGAACCCATTTCATCAATGCAACAAATACTGTATTTTCAGATCGACTGCCCAAATTATCACTTCCCAAAAGAAGCCTCAAAGCGGCTTTTGAAAGTTCTGTAAACTTTTTCATAGTCCATGTTTCGTCAATCGGTGTAAATTCTTTGACAAGGAACTTCTCGAGCATATCATATATATCAGCCATGTCGGAAAGATGCTCCATTTCTCGGAGACAATATTCACACATTTCCAAGCTCGGTGTTGTGGACAACAGGACATACTTGCACTTTTTAATCACATGGCGAACATCAAACTTGTTTGCAAGGACAAGAACTTGGACAAGAAGACGGTAGTCTTTGTCATTGAGAACATCAAGTTTGTACATCGCTTCAATTAAGGTTAGATGAGCCTGAAGTTCATGTTCATAGATTTTCATTACTACCTCCTTTGAGTAAGTTTCTTTCATGCCGGAATAAAACAGTGCCTTGAAATAAGGACTTTGGACCGCTAGCCATTGGCTGTGAACGAATAACTTGCTCACTATGGATTTGTTTTCATCATCTGTCGTCCTACTTGATTTGCTTTCACCATCTTTACCGGTACTTTTCGTTTCTTCATTTTGGTATTCAGTGGTTGTTTCCTGCAGCTTCTGTTCCTCCCCAACAATGTTACGTGGTTCCTCTACGTCGTCCTTCTGCTCAAACGTTTCCCTTGCATTGCTATTTTCCATTATTTTTTCTACTGCAGAGTCTTTATTTTCGTCTACAAATAAATATTTATAATAATTATCAGAAATATTACAAATATCGTATCTCTTTCAGAACCATCCTCACGGGCTCAGAGATATGTAAAACTAGTTTGATATTATGCCACCGCAGAACTGTATAAATTTTATTTTGCAATTTTGTAGTCAAGTCCAACAAGTGGGAAATTTGTCGAGCATGTGCGAGGAAAATGAGCCACGCAATTGTGTGGAATACACGCAACGCGTGTTTACAAAAAGGCGCAATTGTGTAAATATTGCCAAATGTTCGGTACAAAATAAATGACTGTTTTACGTTGAAAATGGGCATGATCTAAATTAATCATACATAATTTTTTAGTGTTGCTACTTTGCTGTCAAAACATTTCGGATGTTTACATGAAAATAAAGACAAGTCATGCATTTTATAACCTCGTAAACTGTATGAGCCCCTATTTTTACGCTTATACCTAAGATATCAAATAAAAATACATGAAACAGAGAACGTTTTTAGAAAGTTTTATCTCACTGGCCACGGCCAGTTTTTAAAATATCTTCATTTGTTTTCCGATCATCACCATAATTACACTGAAGCCGGGCTTGGATATACAACAAATTTTGAATCTCATCAAGTACAAAACTATTTAACGTGTAACCAAAATATGCTCATGAAATGGAAATTAAGAGCTAAATTTTCAAACTGGACCCTTCTCGAGGCGGTTTTCATGAAGTGAGTTCATCTTTCGGCCTTTGATTCTTGGCAAAAATTTGACCA